TNNTNNTNNTNNTNNTNNTNNTNNTNNTNNNAAAGGCGCATTTCATTAACTTTTCTCGATGAAACTGGCTTTTCTTTAGAGGTTCATAAACACTCCTTAATAAAGTTGTACATAAATTTGTCCCATATATACAATGAACCCATAAGCGAACAAACCCAAAATGATACAAACCACATGTGCATATGCTTTTAGACAGCAAAAAAGTATTAATAAAAATCACCTGAACAAACATTTATGTTCCATAAAATGATGTGCTAAGATTGTGGTTATAACCGGTAAAGCCAACCATTTTTAGCTCTACTGCTTGTTGCTTCTCGATCATATCTAATGTGTCGTAGATCTCCATCCCCATACCCCTTAATCACATTAAAAATGTGTGAATGCATGAAAGTTTGATCGCCATAAAAACAAGGCAGAACAAAACAATTAAATATAAAAATCAGACACCACATGATTGATTTCACATGTTTAAGAATCTGGTTAAAACTGGTCTTTGTTCCTACGGTTTCTCGCCATGTAGCACTCATACACAATCAAGTGTTGTCCGCCTCTTTTGCTAGCTCATATATGAATAGAACTAAATCCATATTCAAATAGATTTAATTCATGTAACAATCCGAGTAATTTAAAAATAATAGATCAAATAATTACTGCCTCTGTTATTAAAATTAATGAAAAAGATAAACCCACAACTGAAAAAGAACCAAGCTTGACGGATTTCACCTTGATCAATGGACATTCAATTGAAAATGCTTTCAAAATTGAAGCTAATGCTTACCGATTATACCTACCGGAGCTGCTTGCCAGCCATTGCAGGCAGGTCGTCATCGCACGATTTGTCCAATTAACTGGAAAATTTGGAGCTCAGCCGTCGCGGTAAGTTGTCCGATTAACAATGTCGCGGCGGTGGACCATCAACAACATCACCATTGTGATGACCGGCACCTGGAAGAGCCCTCCTCGAGATAGTTGCATTTTTATTTATGTTTCTATGTCTATAATCCATGTGTGTTTTTTCAATGTCTCATTTCAGAATGCAGTTTCCTCATCCTCTTCTTTTATTTCCAATTATTAAAAGATGTACTTCACGAAAATCTAGTAGGACTTTCCATCCTAAGTCGTGCCAAGTCATCATTAGAAATGACATAACCAAACATCTTATTGACATAACTGAGATAAAATGCCTGGGACGTAAAAGTGACATAAGTCGATTCAATATTTAGCGTGCACCTTCTTGAGCAGGATAGAAGTAGGATGAGCAACAAATGTTTGTTTTTCCCTGATGTAACTTTACTGTACCTGTTTGTTCACTTTTATGATATATGGAAGAGAAAACCTGTTATTTGTGAAGGCTTGGATTATTACCTTTTGATTTTGTCTTGAACTGTAACTAACCCTGTCCATTACTGGTTTTGTTGAGCCCTGACATCTTACTACTATCTATCTAGTTGCTGAACTCTCACATTTTTTTATATAAGGATGATATAATGCTTTTAACAGAATTTTTACTTTGTTAGTTGATCAATCTTTTGATGACTTATGAGTTTTCTCACAAGAAGTTTGTTTTTATATGTGCAGTACCTGCTTGTCAAAATTTGTACAAGAACTCTTTTACCTATCATTTTGTGCAGTATGATCTAAAGCTGTTGTTTGATGATGCGATTCAGTTTTTACTTGAGTCCTCACTACTCGAGTACTACAATATAGTTTTCTATTCTTCATCACGTATTGCTTACCAGTTAAGGTTTTATAACAAAATTGAAGAGTTTTTTATTTTGTGATGCAATGTTTGAAATGCATATGCTGCATAGGAAATGCATTTGAAATTATATTGTAAAATGAATAATAACTTTTATTGCATCAAATTTTTTCTTTCTTCTTACATTGGAACCTCACAAATTTGTTAATCAAAGCTATGTAAAAAATGGATATAATGGGGAATCCTCTAAAAACATATTCAAACAATTTGGAAATCAAAATAAGTTTCCAACACATGATCTGATAACAACATTGAAATTAAAAAATTTAATTTGGAACACAAAATGAATACCTAAAAGGATTAAAATAAGTTTTTGTTCACATCCGAGGATCAGCACCCTCCCCTCCCCCAACCTCTCATTTTCTATCTCATACCTTGTATGACTACAGTTCTTTTTAACAAACGTGTTGATTATCAGGCGTTAAAAAATAACAAAAAATTAAAATAAATAAATAAATAAATGGCAGTCATTACTTACTCAAGAGTTGGAGCTCGACAGAGTCGGCTCTTAGCCTGATGACCTATCTACCAACTCCCACACGTGACCGCCATAAAAGTCGAAGAACCGCCATCCCCGAATCTCGTGCGGCAAGTCTTGCACTCGTTTCAGAGCTCATGAGTCTTCTTTGTCAAGGGCTCTACCTCATGGGTACCAAGATGGGATCGAAGTACTTGTTTTCGATCCCGCCTGTTTATTTGCTTTGCCTGTAGAACACCAGGAATTTATGGCCGAAGGTGAAAGCAACGAAATCAACTACATGTACGATACGATAACGCTGCTAATCTAAACAGATAACCTAAAGTTCAAGCGCGCACATCGAACAATAAATTCAGCATAATCAAAATATAGTCGTCATCACTGGGGAGTTTAAAAAACAAATATAAAGCTACTGATGAGATGTGGGCATGTAGCCTAATTGTTCCACTAAAAAAGACAAGAGAAATTTATTTTCCGTAAATAATTACAAATAACCCATTGACATATATTCCTGAAATAAAGATGAATCTGAAGATTTAATGATTTAGTTTTAACTCTGAAGTTCAATGTCCAGTTTCCATCAGTTTAAACTGTCGCAATAGTTTTTGCTATTACCAGTGCATTTACTATTATAGGGCAGCACCTACCAGAACAGTGTTTCCCGAGTAATTTGTGCTTGCAAGCTCGTACATGTTTATCTTTTGAACTACATATATTAGCCATTTAATTTATGTTTCTAATTAGCATTGCAATTAATTTGTTAAACAAATCAAATTTCAAAAGGAAGAATTGTTGAAATACCATAAGAACACATTCAAACTTGGATACCTTTACTCTCGTTTGTATAATATAAATCTAAACCTTGAAATCAGTTTCAGTAATGGGGTTACAAAAGTTAGTTCAAACGTTTTAGTAACAGTCTTTACAGGCAATGGGGTTTATACAACTTCAAAAAGTACCTTATCCTATACCTGCTGGATGGCAATCCTCCATCACCATAGTAGTACTGCTTTGTAGTCTCTTTAGCAAACTCAGCAGGAGTCATTCCAACCTTTAACTGTGACAACAAATGCGGCATAATCTCATAGCCCATATGATTTCTTGACACCAAGCATATCTTCAGAAAGAGAAAAAGTCTTGCTCTAATGCGGGTGTATAAACAGAACAAAAATCTCCTAGATCAAATCATCCATTTCCACAGGCCCGCACACAATGTAAATTTAACAAATAAAAATCACATACAAAAAACCCTAGCTCACCCCATAAAAATCTCCGATCCATATTCATCAGTATCATCCGTGAAGAAGGGTAGATATGATGGTCAGTATCGTAGCCACCGGTGGCAGCGCCTCACTGAAGGTAGTTAAAATTGACGACTTTGCTCATCCTTGTTCTTTGCGCTGCTGAGCTTCACGGATGGCGTGTCTTTGGAGAGACCGGTTGAGCCCAAAATCGTGAAATTGGTGGATTACTCGATCGTTGAAAATTCGCCTCCAGTTCAATCGCGTAGTTCTTCAGGCCGATTATGTGGAAATAATGGTTCAGCCTTGTGCTTTCTCTCGCTTAAAAAGCGCTCATATCCCAAACTCCTCCCCGCCATCGTCCACCGCATATGCAAACCCAACTTTGTCTGCTGCTCTGCTTGTGTTGCCGCCTTTACCTGCCTCTCATAGAACTCCATGTCTGCCCTTTTAACCTTTGTTGGCAACAATTTCTCGAAGCCCGATTCATGGTAGGACCAAAACGCACAAACCGACGTCGCCTGTGCCTGGAGGCGCTAATTGAGGCATCGATGATCCGAACGCAACCGGAGATTGTTGCCGAGGCTCAAGAAATTGGTCAAGGGGATGGCTTTCGCGGCTAAGAAAGGGAAAAATATGGTGAGTTTCAGAGAAACCAAAGAGAGAGAGAAGAGTACGAAAGGCGTGTGAAGAAAGCGAATTCCTATCAATCGGTCAGAAGATGTCCAATCGCTATAAGACGTGCGACCGAAGAAAAATTTATGAAAGATTGTATTTACCCTACTAACCCCTGAAAACCGATTAAAGTAAGGCCATTTAGGTAAATTAACAACCCAACAACCACAAAAACGGCGTCGTTTTGCCTGGACAGTATTTAAAAAAGATCTAAATCGGATTTAATAAATAGGTAAAGAGGCCCCAAAAAAATTGGCAAGCAAGAGGTGAAATTGCCCATTCCCAAAATAAGCCACGTGGCGGCTACACAAATGAAACTATCAAAGCAAATGTGTGCCACGTGTCAGCTCAATATTGCCTTACATTTTTTCTTATAAGAATAAGAGAGATATGGATTGGTTCCAATGCATCCACTTATTTAAAGTGAGGACGTAAAACTCATTTTTAGCCACAAGATTTGGTACATCATGTGTGGCCAAGATTTACTCTTTTCTTTTTATTATTTTAATTATTTAAATATTATTTTGACCCATTGACTTCAACGTTGATCGTTGACTTCCGGCGTTGACAGTTGACTTTCGGTGTTGACTCCACCGTTGACCGTTGACAACTAACCTTCCAACTAGGTTAGTTCTATGTAGTTGTTAGGATAGTTCTCTGTAGTTGCTAGGTTAGTTGTCTGCAGTTGCTAGGTTAGTTCTCTGTAGTTGCTAGGTTAGTTCTCTCTAGTTCCTACGTTAGTAGTTGCTTGGTTAGTTCTCTGTAGTTGCTAGGTTAGTTGTCTATAGTTGCTAAGTTAGTTCTCTGTAGTTGCTAAGTTAGTTCTTTGTAGTTGCTAAGTTAGTTCTCTGTAGTTGCTAGGTTAGTTGTCTGTAGTTGCTAAGTGTTGTCCGCATTTTAAGAGCTGGGCGCATTTTAAGAGCTGGGCGCATTTTAAGAGCTGGACGCATTTGATCCGCCCCCTATATATATATATATATATATATATATTAACATTTATTATATACAAATTAAAATATTTTTAAATCTTTCTAAAAATTTGGAATAACTTTACTAAACTAAAAAATAAAAATTCAAAGTACTTTTTAATTTAATCTCAAAATTTCTGAGAATACCCAAAAACTATCGTCAATTAGAAATAATTTAGAATTATAGGTTAATTACAAACCATAAACGTAGCAAATAAATTATATGATTATAATATTACATTATTTTGAAATAAAATATTTCATTAGATACTTAAGTTTTCAAACATTCCTAAAACTTTTTAAATCTATGTATAAGTAATTACAATAAAAATAATATATCAATCCTTCACGTTTCTATTTTGTGGTCAATAAATTAGACAATAGAAAAGATACATTATTAAGTAAAACCTTTATGATCATATCATGCTTTAAAAAAAAATATAAATATAGATAAGTTATTAATAATAACTAAATAAATATTAAACTCTTACGTTTGAATATTTTATATTTTTATTCAAAGTCCTTTACAACTGTAATGTTATGTGGAGTCTTCTTAATTTTCTTTGGAAATATTTTTTTAAAAAATTGAAAAATCCCGCATTTGGATGATACATTTAAGTTTCAAATTCAATTAATTTAATCAATCTCACATAATGAAATCTCTTCGTTTTGCTTGTTAATGAAATAGATTTACTTCCTAATTAAACCAATCACAGGAAATTTCTCCGACTGCACGTTCTTATGCTAGACTTTTTTTCCAGACGAAATTGATCAGTTACGAACGAGATTTTTGGTAAGGAAGTTGCATTTCTTTTCTTTCTTTTTTTTTTTTATTTTTCCCGAAGAATTTACGTACATGACATGTGAGTAGTCCTCGACTGATAGGAAAGTCAGTTCCAATATGGCGTGTATTGCCAGTTTTCATATCTTACTTGAATTGTTATTAATGGACATAATAGTTGAATTATTTATTTTTATGTTTATTGCTACTAATAATTTAATATGCATCATATTTATTTATGGGGTGCCGAAAACGAGAGTAAAAGATTGATCTCTTTCTTCGATGTCATTAGCACCACTCACTAGCCGACCTTGCAAATAACTGCACTAAAGAAGGCCTGTCGAGTTTTGGCGGCCGATGTGCTACCACCAACAGCCTACTGGACCTACAAAACCTTATGTATCCTCCCAATGGCCTTGTAATCACTAGAAGTGGAACCGAGGATGTTAATAAATGGATAAAACACTGCACATCGACCCATACAATCATATTGGCAACATAATTTAGATCGTAAAAAAAAGAATAAAACAATATAAATCATAACAATAGACCGACACGGTTGAATGGACTTATCCACCAACACTGGTTGTAAGCCGGAGTAGCAGATTTTGAAGAGTCATGTTAACCACCTGCAATCCCGATGTTTGTCTTTTAGCTCCAACACTCGTCGACGCTTTTCACGAAACTCGTTGGTCACAGGTGGAATCGATCTTGACTCAGCAACGAAACAAAACAAGAAATATTAGATCGACACACGAAAAACATACCAATGACTAGGAAAATACTTACTAGATTTTGTTGCCATATGTGTGGCATACACAGATAATCACCAACTTCACTGTCACCGGCCGATTTCTTCGCCTGCCAGTTTTTGCCGACCCATAACCACTCTTTTCACCACTTACTGACTACTGTGGTATGTGAGTTACATGTGTGTACGATAAAAAGTAGACCTCGGAACCCGCTTTAAGGGCTTTCTATAGAAAAACTAACTCTAGTTCTTATAGAGTCAGCGGATCCCATCCTTTATTGTAAACCATCACGATAATGGAACATACCTTCAACCATGGGTTAGGGTGGACTTGTGTGACTGTGTACACCCATACCCCAAGACCGCTTATACATTGTCAATATTCAAGGAATGGAAAATCGCATACTGGAGATCACCGATGCTTGAATATTGCGACAAATTCCAGCTGCAGGCAATTCACTCTCTCTAGCATACAACCAGGGACAGATTTGTATTGGGCCCAGGGGGGGCCATGGGCCCCCTGAATTTTTTTCAAAAATCAATAATATATATATATGTGTGTGTAAAAAAATAAGAAAAATATGTATATAAATATAAAAAGTATTTACAATATATTAATAAATAAAAGTTCTTTTTATGTTGTTTTAATTAAAATTAATAATATTATTTATTTATTAAAAAATATACTAATAATCCTTTTTTTACATTTCTAGATAAATTTGAAAGAATATTTATAATAATTTACTCTTTGGGCCTCTTAATTGTAAATCGATTTAGTAATGTGTAAAAAACTCAGTATTTAGTTGGATTGTTACGTTTTATAATTTTGATTTTTTACTTTCACATAATTTTAAATTTTTCTATTTTCTTTTTACAAAATATTCATTTTATAAACTCTCATCAACAAAGATGTTATGCAATGTGCTGCAAGCGTTCAGATTTCCCAATAAAAAAACTCATTTTTTTCCATAAACTATAGATGTTAAACTTAAGTTATAAATATATGAAATCTCGTATTTTTTATTTTTTTATTTTTTATAAAAGTTTGAGGGTGATTCAAATTCTTAAGTTTAGAAAAACTTGATGGTACACATCGATATTTATATTTATAGTAGATACATTTTTATATGAAATGCACGTTTCGACTTAACTACAAGCTCGTTATAACATTTAAAATCGGACCCCCCTGAATAAAATTCCTAGATCCGTCACTGCATACAACACGAACAGACGTATCCATGCAGGGAGGGACCTTCAGCGTCTCTCACAATTTCACGATGTCAAAATCCGACAAGGTGCTAATCGTCCTGCTCACATCTAGATTTTACGATACGGTCGCCTTTTTCAACAGTCGTCTGCTCCAGAACCCTCCTGTGTGGGTTATGAACTTTCAACCTCAACCCTCAATGTCGCATCATAATTCTCCATCGGTGGCAACAACATGTTTCGAAGTATAGCTGGGAAACAAAAAAGGACAAAAAAATGGTAAAAGTAATAAAAGGATCTCGTAAGTACCTTAGAAAAATTTGCTCGTGCAAGTGCGGTGTCGATCTGAAGTTGAAGGCGGCATTGAACTTGCTCATTTTCTCTCAGTGGAATTTGGGTTTTGCAAAAGTCAAAAAGGAAAAAAATTATCTTTTCTACCTATTTATAGAATTCTTGGGATCTAGTCATAAAGACACGACTGTCTATGTTGCATCCATGATTGACGCGTCTAACAAACACACCCTATCAGGATGTTACGTAAAGGTATGCCATTTAGAGCTAAGTTGCCAACTTTTCTCTCGGGGACATGTGTCAATGCATGCAGAAACTGGACAAGCCTTTTCATAGCATTTTGTCTTACCACTCAAGTAACTATCACATTTGCATTTAATGCGCCGAAAGAACACGACCTATATTTCCTTACTAAGAGATTACTATTCCTACTATAATGGATTACCAATTCAAAATGTATGTTTCTGTTAGACAAGTCAAGAGTGAGGAACAAGTAAAAGGAGTCAACATGGCTATGTACATGTCATCACCAACACGAGATACTCATTCATGCAAGAAGGAACTGACAGTTGTGCCCCTTAACACTGTGGCCCCATGCAACTCTCTTCAGATGATGCCACGTGCATGTGTAGTAGTTTAATGTACAGTGAGGATGAGAGTTGAGTACACTTTGTTTCATTTAAATAGCAACTGTAAAACCCTAGCTAAGTAAATGAATGTTCACTCACTTTGGGAAAATATGTAGCTGCTCTCGTTTCTTGTGCATTGTGATTTGCTTCTTTTGCTTTCATGGTATCAAAAGCAGGTCTTTATGACCCGTGATTCATCCTTTTGGTAAAGTCATCATCTACTTTCTTCCTCAATGGCAGAAGGTAGTCATTCTAGCACGGGATCTGGGCACATAGTTCAAAACCCACCATCAAGTGCCTCTGCAGCTCTCATTTTTCCTCAAAGCCAGCTAATATCCACCAAACTCAATGAAGGAAACTTCCTAATCTGGAAACAACAAGTCCTTACAACCATCAGAGGTTATGGACTCAAAAAAATTTATCACTGAAGAAGCTGCTCCTCCATCTCAGTTTATCCTCAACCAAGACTCCCAGGAACAAGAGATAAATCAAGAATTTCTTTTATGGCAGAGGCAAGATCAGCTACTCGCATCTTGGCTTCTATCTTCTCTCAGTGAAACCATCCTCATTCAAACTGTTGGCCTCAACACAGCCAGAGAGATTTGGAAATCTCTTCAAACAAGTTTTGCCAGCCAAACCACAGCAAAATTGATGCAATACAAAATGCAGCTACAAGGTTTGAAGAAGAACAATCTTACCATGTCTCAATACCTAAACCAAATGAAAATCTGCTTTGACTATCTTGCCTCAGTTGGACAGCCTGTTTTGGAAGCAGATAAAATCATTCACATCGTAAGTGGTTTGGGCAGTGAGTATGACCCGGTGATGGTCTCAGTTACTTCCAGGATAGAGCCATACACTGTCACTGAAGTGCAGGCTTTGCTCCTCAGCTATGAAACCAGACTGGAAGTTAACACCAAAATCATGACTAATGCCTATGAGGGTTCTCAGCCATCTGTCAACACTGCAACACAAGACAATCAAAAGAGAAACTTTTCCAGTGAACAAACTAGAGGAGGTTTCAGAGGAGGACACATCAATAGAGGAAATAGATCTGGTGGAAGAAATTTTAGAGGAAGGGGGGGCAGGTTCCATGGAAGTAGGCCTACTTGCCAAGTCTGCAGGGTCTCAGGTCATACTACAGATCGTTGTTGGTATAGGTTTGATCAAACCTACTCTCCTCAGCAACAGGCAACTCACCAAGGAGGAAACAAAAATCCATCACTTAACCTCACTCATTACTCAAGCTCTTTAACTCCCTCAGAATTTGGAAGTGAAAGCACTTGGTATCCAGATTCAGGTGCCTCAGTGCATGTCACCAATGAACTTGGAAACATGAGCATTGCATCTGAGTACAATGGCCAAAACAGACTTCAAGTGGGAAATGGCACAGGAGTTCCTATAAACCACATTGGTAATGCACTTCTTAAGCCCTTAAATAACAACAAGACTTTTCTACTAAAAGAGCAATTGCATGTCCCCTCAGTTACTAAAAATTTGTTCAGTGTGTCTAAATTTGCCCTTGACAACAATGTGTTTTTTGAATTCTATCCTTCTTTTTTCCTTGTCAAGGATCAGGCCACTCAAGCCACTCTTCTCAGAGGGACAGTTAAGGATGGCCTCTACCTTTTCAACCTTCATCCAATCTCAAGCTTGAAGAACCCAGCAAAAGACTTTTCATTGAATAATGAACACCTTTCAGTTAATTTTGTTTCCTTTAAAAGGACACCTAGCCTTGAACTTTGGCACCAAAGGTTGGGCCATGCTAGCCTAGAAATAGTTGAGAAGGCATTAAAAGCATATAATTGTCCTTATTCTGTTAATGACATTTCTGGTTTATGTGATTCTTGTTCAGTTTCAAAAAGCCAAAAACTTCCTTTTACTTCTTTTGAAACTGTTTATAATTCTCCTCTTGAATTAATTCACACTGATCTTTGGGGGCCTGCACCAGTTAAATCAACAAATGGATATGTGTATTATGCTATCTTTGTTGATCATTTTAGTAGATTTGCTTGGTTATACTTGGTTAAGAACAAAACCGAAACACATGGAGCTTTCTTACACTTTAAAAATCTTGCTGAGAATCAACTTAACTATAAGATCAAGAGAGTGCAATCTGATGGAGGAACAAAATTAAAACTCTATCCAAAGTGTTTGATGACTGTGACATAGAACATAGGATCTCATGCCCATACACTCCTCAGCAAAATGGGATTGCTGAAAGAAAGCACAGACACCTTGTGGAGATGGGACTATCCTCGTTACATCATGCTAAACTTTCTGCAAGGTTTTGGGATGAAGACTTCATCACAGCTTGTTACACTATAAACAAGCTACCAGCAAAAGGTTTGAACTACACATCACCATTTGAGTTGTTGTACAAAGAAAACCAGATTATAATTCAATGAGAGTGTTTGGTTGCTTATGTTATCCTCACATCAGACCACTTAACAAACATAAATTGGAATTTAGATCTCAGCCTAGCACATTCCTTGGCTACAACTCTCACTATAAGGGTTACAAGGCCATGTTGTCTTCAGGGAAGTTCATTATCACAAGAAATGTAGTTTTTTATGAGAGGACATTTCCTTATCTTGAAAGAGAAAAGAGTGTTGCAGAAGTAAGAAGTGATGTTCATACCACAGCCCTGCTAATTCTTGAAGACTTTCTCAAAACCAGCACTGAGAGTACTAGAGAAAATGGCACCAAAGAAAAGTCCACAGAAGCAGCCCAGGTGAATAGATCACAATCAATTGTCAGGTCACCTCTCATTGAGCAAAGATCCTCAAGTTGAAATCCAAGCTATTCAACTATACCTTTAATAGTTAACCTGCCAATTTCTGAAGACCATCAAAACTCAACTACTGAAGCAGAAAGTCAACACCAAATGAACCAACATCCCATGGTGACAAGATCAAAGGTTGGTGTCTACAAACCTAAGATTTATAACCTTGCACTCCAGAACACAGAACCCAACTCACCTTTTGAAGCCTTGAAGGATGATAAGTGGAAAAAGGCAATGGAGACTGAGTACAATGCACTCATTAAGAACAAAACTTGGACACTAACTCCACTGCCAGAAGGGAAGAATCTTGTTGGCAACAAATGGGTGTTCAAAATCAAGAGACACTCAGATGGATCTATATCAAGATACAAAGCAATACTTGTTGCACAAGGTTTCTCACAAGCTTTTAGTTTTGATTTTTCAGATACATTCAACCCAGTCATAAAGCTTACAACTATAAGAGTGGTGATGACAATTGCAGCTACTCATGGCTGGCCAATTCAACATTTGGATGTAGACAATGCCTTCTTGAATGAAGATCTTGAGGAGAATATCTACATAAAGCAGCCCTATGGCTTTGAACAAGGTGACAAAAACTTGGTGTGCAAATTATCAAAGGCTCTTTATGGTTTAAAACAGGCTTCGAGAACCTGGTTCACTAAGATCAAATCAGTTTTGACAAGTATGAAGTTCAGAAACTCAAGGGCTGATACCTCTTTATTTGTGTTGAATCAAGGGAAAAAGACAGTCTACTTGCTGATTTATGTGGATGACATTCTAATAACATGAGATTGTCCACATCTGCGAGATTCAGTCATCAACAAATTAAAGGAAAGCTTCTCTTTAAAGAATCTTGGTGAAGTTCAACACTTTTTGGGAATTGAAGTGACTAAGACCACACAGGGCTTGCACCTAAGTCAAGCAAACTACATTCAACAAATTCTGAGCAAAGTTAACATGGCAGAAGCAAAGAGTTGTCCAACACCAATGGTTTCTTCTCTTCACCTCTCCAAGTTTAAAGGAGAGTCTAATGTTGATGAAACCTTGTACAGGAAAGTGGTTGGGGCCTTACAATATGCCACAATCACTAGACCAGAAATCAATTTCTCAGTCAATAAGGCGAGTGAGTTCATGTCTTATCCCTTATGTTTTGTAGTATTTTTGGGCATGTGGTAACCGAGCTACCCGACTCGAGTCGTTCTCAAAGGAAGACGGTTCGGAGCTTTGTTCACCACTTAATTGTCCAAGTAACACAAAATGAGAAAATAAAAGCTAAGCATGCTAACCAAGGGGTTTGAGAGTGAATTAATGCTAATCGAACTCGAAATATAAAACAACAATTGAACTAGAGAATAAAGCAATTAACACCACCGGAGTCTCTAAACCATCAACATCAAACGAACTCAATGACGAACAATTTGCAAGTTCTAAGCACTAGGTCACTAATCCTAACCTTCTAACCTAAGTGATTAAGCTTTAAATAAAGTCTTAACCCTTAATCTAGATAGGCAAGTAATTAATCCCTACTAGAACAAGCAAGAGCAATGACCAAGTCCAAACATTCCCTCCATCATCAAGCAAACACCCAAAATCACCTTGATAAACATCATAAGTAAAAACGGGGCAAAAATCGAAGTAATGAGCTTTAAAAGTAAATACCCAATCTTCTATTGCGTGCTAGACGAAAATGTTGAGGTTCGGAGGGGAGGAGCACTTCTCGATCAATGCGTTCGGCGCTTGTAGCGGCTTTGCCCTTTTTGTAGACTTTCACTCGTTCGATATAGGCTTCAACACATTTTCGGGTATGATGTGGTTTGACCTCGTAGCGGCTAATGGCGAGATCCGCTTGGACTAACTCACGTGACGTGATCGGCCGTTTTTTCATGAATTCCCCACCATATGTGGCTCCAAAATACTCACCGAAGATCGTAATCATATGGCCGAATACCGGCTTGAAGCGCTTGACTTTGACAATTTGGGCCATTTTCTTCAAAACATACGCGCCCAAATTCACGGGTTTGCCGTGCACCGCACACCAAAGGATAAAAATGTCGTCCGTGCTCACCTTTTGTCCATCCTTCTTGCCGAAAATGTTGTGGCAAATGAACTTGTGCACGACCGCGAGGGCGGGATCTTTGATGTGACCGGTAACACCATCGATGAACTTCAAGTACGGGAGTCCCGAAATTTCCATCCAAGCGGCCGCCAAGTCAAACTCCTTTGGCACGGAGGTCGGCCCCTCAAAGGTGAACCCGAAAAGCTCTTTCATCAACGCTTGATCTATCTCCACCGGCTTGCTATCCAATCGACACCGCACAATAGTTTCCTTCTCTTCGAGTTTGAACGTTGTGTAGAACTCCCAACAAAGTGTCACGTAGGCGTCGGCTCGGAGGGATACAAACTTCAACAAGTTGAGGTTCTTTAAAAGGCGTTTGACCCCGCTAAAAATTTTAAGGTCCGTGAGAACTTCGTAGTCAATATATCGGGGAGGTCGGACCTTCTCGTCTCGTAGTTTATTGAAAAGATTGTCCTCGAGGTGCCCGGTTACGAGGAAAGGCTCCTTTCTTACCAATGGCACATTGTCGGTGTCGGCAATGGCTTCGGGATCGGCTTGGCACGGCAAGACATCCTCCGTAACATTATCCTCCGTAACATTCTCCATTGGGGCACTCGATATCCCCTCATTAGCCGTGCCCCGTTTGCGTTTAGGTACGGCTTGTCTCTTTTTCGGAGGCATATTACGAATAGAACTTGCGTTTAGAGTGTACCTACAGACAAATTTGACACGTCCGGCAAGACGTGTCGCCACAACAACCACAATCTCCAATACACAATATCACAATATCCCAATAGCCAATTCAACTCCACGTCAAATAATTCAACGAATCCCAACTCCGAATCAATACCAATCGAAACGAATAAGTTAGGATGTAGCCAATATACCTTCTATCGGAGAGTGAGCAAAAATCCCGGGAAAAATGGGCAGCTCAGTCATCGGAGAAATGAGGAGCAGAGGAGTGGTCGGTGCTCGAGTTTTTGGCCTGAAGTGGAAAGCCTCAGCCCGTCAGAAATCGAAGGTAGAGCTCTAACGAGGACTCGCGGCCGGAAATCGGGCTGAATGCCACTGAACAGAGAGTGAACACCGGTAGCTCAGATGCGGGGATGCTGGAAATTCGAAGGTCGTGGTGGGTAGAGCTTGACGTCGCCGGCGAGCTCGTGGTCGTAGGAGATGATATCGGGTCTCGCGTCGCCGGAGGGTGTAACAGCTCGTCGTCGCTGGGGACCAAAACTCGCTGGAGTAGACCGAAAATCGCAGGGGCTCGCTAGCGTCGGTCGGAAATTGAGTCGTCGATCGGAAATTTGGGTCGTCGGTGGCTTGTGTGCGCCGGCGATATGAAGATAGCTCGTGGTCGGAAATTGGGCTTGAAACGGGAAATGGTCGGAAGACGCGAACTCGGGTCGCTGGCAGGGGTTAGGGTTGCTGGTCTTGTCGCCGTTTGGTGGCAGGTCGCCGGTCGTCGGAGATGGACGAGCGGCGGTTGGAGGTGGAAGTAGAGAGAGCGCTGCGGTGATGCGAGGAGGAAGAAGAGAGAGAGCTGCGATTTGGGCGTGAGGGAAGAGAGAGAAAAAATTTAGGGTTTGAATGTTGACCATGGTTGACTCCCCTGTGTGTACCTCGCGAGGTCGCGAGCTCTCCCGCGTGTCGCGAGTTCCGGGCGCGCCTCGCGGGCTTCTTCGCCGCGCGGATAAAAGACCGCAGAAGTTGGCAGCAGCTCGCGAAATTTTGGGCCTGCCCGCGGAATGGAATTCGCGAGCGCGAATTTTTTTTTTTAACAAAATGATGGGAAATAAAGGAAAATAAGGGAAAGAGAAGAACAAAATGAAAATAAATAAGAAAAACAAAAACGTGGGTTGCCTCCCACGAAGCGCTCGGTTTAAAGTCGTGAGCTCGACTTTCCCGTCAATTCATAGTCAACCAGGTACGGTTTGACGAGCTCCTCCAATCTCATCGTGCTCGTCGAAGAAAACATTCGCCCATTTACTTTTCGGGGGCACCGAAAATTTCCTCAAATCATTACCCCCTTCAAAACTCACATCACGACCCTTGGGCTTCTTTTTCGCTCCCTTCTTGCCCGGTTTTGATCCATTCCCCTTTCCAACATCATTCTTCTTACGCAACTCTTCAAATTTTTCTTCAACACCATCATTAATATTCAATCCCGACCCAACTACCTTCTTATTCTCACCAACACCATTGCAATTAACAAAATTAGAAAGAGAATCGGGATGTACCATTTTGTCCATGTCGTCCATAAATGAGCATTGACCAACTTTGGGTGGAGACTCTCGAGCATTGTTCATTGTGAATGTGACCGTCTCTCCATGAGCCGAAAGGGTGACTCGTCCATCCTTGACATCGATAATGGTGTTGGTCGTCGCCATGAAAGGTCGTCCAAGCAAAATTGTGTGCTCCTTCCCGGTATTCGGGACATCTCCCACGTCAAGGACCACGAAATCCACCGGCACGACAATAGACCCAACTTTGACCAACACATCCTCAATTATGCCCTTCGGTTCCCTCAATGTACGATCCGCTAGTTGTAGGCACATCCTTGTCGGTTTTAGCCCTTGCAATCCCAATTGTGTGTAAATCGAGTAGGGCATGAGATTAATACCGGCCCCCAAATCTAACATCCCGGTCGTCGCCTTACCATTCCCAAAGGCTATCCTCATCACAAACGCTCCCGGATCGCATTCTTTCCGAGGTATAGTAGTAGAAGCTACCTCGGAAATCATGACTTTTTCGTTGTCCTCAAACCTCCGCTTTTTCGAAGCTAAGTCCTTGAAAAATTGCACATATGCCGGAACATTCTTGATAACATCTAAGAGTGGGAGATTGACGTTTACCTTCGAGAGCATGTTGAAAAGGTCCTTAAATTGACGCTCCTTCTTCGTATTTTCCAAACGGCTCGGGTAAGGAACCGGCGGCTTATAAGGTGTAGCCGACTTGTGTAAGCCCTCATGTGTATCCATCTTCGACTTCTCTTTCTTAATCCCCTCATCAACAATTGCCTTACCCTTCGAGACCTCAACCTCCTCAATCGGTTCTTCCTCATCCTCGACAAGAGTCTCCTCCACCTCATTCTCCTTAGTCATTTCCACACGATTATCAACTCGTCTACCACTCCTCAACACCGAGATAGCATTGACGTGCTCGGGTTGGCTCGGGAGCTTGTCTTTCATCTTTCTCCTTTGCATCTCACCGAGTGAAGTCCCGAGTTGCCCCACTTGAGTCTCGAGGCATTTGAGGGAAGCTTGGATTGAAGGTACGCCCTTAACCGCATCATGGAGAGTGGACACGGTCGATGCAAGGCTTTGAAGGTACTTCTCCATATTGTCGATGCGAACGTCCGAGGGATTCTCCTTAGTCTCATTTTCGGGCTCCGGTTGAGGTGGCATTGGTTGCCTTGGAACAAATCCTCCTCGTGGTTGTTGGAATCCTTGGAATTCGGGCCTCGGTTGGTAGCCTTGGAATTCGGGTCTCGGTTGATATGGTCGGTTTTGAAGAGGTGCGTAGGCTTGAGGTGGTGCATAGGCTTGAGGTGGTGCCGGTTGAGGTGGATAGTTTGTCTTCGGGTCCCTCCAAGAGAAATTAGGGTGATTCCTCCACCCGGCATTGTAGGTGTTCGAATATGGATCATTTTGAGCTCGGGGGGCATACCCTTGCACGGCATTAACATCAAAAGGGACCGTCACAACATTCGGGTCGTAAACCGGCTCCATATAACGTGGACACTCATGGCCTCCATGCCCCATTTCTCCACAACAACCACACACCTCCGCCATAACTACTTGAGTCGACTTGGCATCACGTAGACGAAGGTGTTTGAGCTCCTCCTCCAATGAGGCTAACTTAGCCAACACGGCATCATTAGTCGACCCGGACGATTGTGTAGCCTCATTCACGGGAGCCCTCTTGCGTACACTTTTCCGTTGGGAATTTTCGCTCAACATCTCATATAAGTCATATATCTCCTCGGCCGTGTGACTCCCGATATCTCCCCCGGCCGCATGGTCCACCATGTATTGGAGGGTTTGGTAGAGCCCATCATAGAAGAATTGATTCAACACGCCCAAGCAAAAGTGATGATGTGGGCATTGGAGTTGATAGCCCTTGAAACGCTCCCATGCTTCGTGAAAGGTCTCGCCCGGGTTTTGGCTAAAGCTAGCCATTTGTGCTCGGAGATCGGTTGTCTTTTGATGCGAATAGTACTTGCCCATGAACTTCTCGTAGACGGCTTCCCACGTGTTGAGTGAGTTCGGAAGCAATGTCATGAACCAAGTCTTGGCCCGATCTTTCAAGGTATAGGGGAAACATCTCATACGAAGTTGGTTTTCGGTTAAGCCTTGGAGAGGGAAAGTGTTGACCGTGGAGTAAAAGTCTCGGATGAAATTGAGGGCATCTTCTTGTGCAAGGCCATAAAATGAGGGAAGTTGGTTGAGGTGGATCGTCTTGAGGTCATAGTTTCGGGCCGCCTCCCCAAGCACAAGGCACGAAGTGTTGTCTCCAATGATTGGTCGTGCAAAGTACCTCATGTTTTGGGGTGGTTGTGGCAATTGATCTCCTTGTCCCGCCATTGGTTCGGGTTCCGGTTGTGGTTCGTCTATGTTGAGCTCAACGAAAAGATTTAACGGTGGAGTCTTTTCTCGGGTTGCTTTCTTCCATCTACCTCGCATAAACACAACCAACAACTATACCCGTGAATGCACCAATGGGAAACAAGAGCAAAACACAATCAACAAAAACAAACTATCTACAAAAGCAAGAGAAATCAAGAGAAATAAGGAAATTAAGCAAGGTTCACAAAAATCAAGAGAAACACGAAAAAAAGGGACAATCAAGTAATAAACTAGGCGTCCTACTTGCCTTCCCCGGCAACGGCGCCATTTGTTTTGTAGTATTTTTGGGCATGTGGTAACCGAGCTACCCGACTCGAGTCGTTCTCAAAGGAAGACGGTTCGGAGCTTTGTTCACCACTTAATTGTCCAAGTAACACAAAATGAGAAAATAAAAGCTAAACATGCTAACCGAGGGGTTTGAGAGTGAATTAATGCTAATCGAACTCGAAATATAAAGCAACAATTGAACTAGAGAATAAAGATATTAACACCACCGGAGTCTCTAAACCATCAACATCAAACGAACTCAATGACGAACAGTTTGCAAGTTCTAAGCACTAGGTCACTAATCCTAACCTTCTAACCTAAGTGATTAAGCTTTAAATAAAGTCTTAACCCTTAATCTAGATAGGCAAGTAATTAATCCCTACTAGAACAAGCAAGAGCAATGACCAAGTCCAAACATTCCCTCCATCATCAAGCAAACACCCAAAATCACCTTGATAAACATCATAAGTATAAACGGGGCAAAAATCGAAGTAATGAGCTTTAAAAGTAAATACCCAATCTTCTATTGCGTGCTAGACGAAAATCGAAGTCAAAAGCTCGGAACTTGAACAAAATAAGACTCGCCGGAAAATTCGCCGGAAAATGATGTCATAGAGCTCCCAAGAGAGAGAAGAGAGAAAACTAAAAGGAAAATAGCTATTCCCAAAGTGGGAAAAGTGACAAATGAAATCTAGGTGTCCCAAATACAAAGGA